TTTTTTTTTTTTTTTTTTTTTTTTTTTTTTTTTTTTTTTTTACATTATAGTCGGTGACAACTGGTGCGATTTTCATTACCCCAACACCACCCCTCTTTCAATCCCCTTTTCCCAGCCTTGCTGCCCCTTAGCGCAACGAGGCAAAGCGACCACCAGAGAGAACCGGCGGCTCCGCAGAGCTTCCCCCACGAAAGTTGACGCCGCTGTTGTGGCTCTGATTACCAGAGTAGCCCCTTCGGCGTCTGTTATTATGATTATGATTATTATTACTGCCCCCACCTCTCCCGATGAACTTCCAGCCTCTTCCGCCACGGTTTCTCCTGACACCACCATCTATGCGAACGGGGCCGTCATCGCTCTCGGTCTCTGCTCTCGTCTCGCGTGGCTTTGGGTCCTCCACCTTCGCAATGCGTATGGAGTCGAAGAAGCACTGGTCATCGTCTGCCCATGAGGAAAGCACCGACTCTTGCTCCTGCATTGTAGAGTTCGTCACCGATGAGACGCATCCAACCACCTTGAAGGCATTCACCGGAACACCCCCAAGCTTGACACTCTGCGACTTCACGGCATTTGCGTAGCTTTCTCCACCAGGGGGCCGGACAGACATGGTGCTGTTCGCACCGCTCACAGTGCCTGGAATAATCACCACGTCACCTGCATTTACGGTAGTGGCACTGCCACTCCCGCTGTCAACGTTGTTGGGCTCCATAGGGTTGATGGAAGCCCTCCTGCCCACCACCTGTGCGAATGTGACGTTCTCCTGCATCATCAGTGTTGTTTGTCTACCTGAGACCCTTCTACCTTGTTTAAGCGCTATGAGGTTGTGTGCTATCGTCGGTCAGCTTTAACCCACGCGGGAGCGTGTGAGGAAAATTCAAAAGAGAAAAGCAAACAGGTGGCATAAATGCGCATGGGACACAAACACACACATATATATATATAGTGAGAAAGAAAATAGAGAGAGAGAGATAGATACACGCTACTTGGCCACAATGCACAACCGAATCAGGGAAAGAGAATGCCGTCGCTCAGCTGCGGTTCACCTTCACTAGGTCTGCAGTGACAGAGTCGTAGAACCCAACTCGCTCTGGGCTTAACGGGTCCTCCCCGTTGTTCACGAGAAGCCCACTGTAGCAAATGGACAATCGATGTAGCAGATGGGCCAGAGAAGCTTGCCCGAGCTCCATCTGTTCACACGTCTTTGCGGCGCGGTGCACCTGCACCGTGCGAAACACCAAAACATGATCGTGCTGTGCGCTTACCCGACCTGCAGCCGAATCAAGAAACATCCTCTCATCGTTCCACACCGCAGCTACCACTGTCGCAGCAAGGAGTTCCACTACGGCCCTCTCCCGGTGTAAACTAAGCGCAATGGCCGCCATGGCTTCCAACAAGTTATTCACACTGAGCCCGGCCATGCATACAGGGACCATATCCGCCTCAGGAACACCACCACCCAACACATCTCCATTACTCTGCGCAAAAACAGTTTCTACGCAGGACCTTAACGGGTTGCGCAGCGATCGCCACTTCAGCACCCTTACTACCGCTTTGAAGCACGGCTCATGGTGAAGTCCGAAACGGTGGAATGCAACAAGAAGACGGACGAGATCGCCTGCGGCTTGATGCGCAAGCTGTGCCGGGGACAGAAATGGACCCCGAGGGCTTGTGAGACGCTGCAGAACGCGTTCCTCAACAAGCCCAAGGCTGGAGAGTGTCAGAAGAAGCTGTGAGACCGCATTCCCAATACCACCCTCCGACGGTGGGATCGTCTCACCAGCGAGTCTTTTCACCGGTGTAAGGACAAGGCACCGCAATTCTGCCATGAGTTGCAGAAGCAGAACGCCGTCCTCGCACTCCAATATGTGGTACAGTTCAGCAAACACTGCTATTTCCTTCATGGAGAGCAGAGCGGGTCTCTGTTGTTCGCCGCCTGGCAATGTGACTCCACTCCGAACCTCGCCTGTGCGATGACTATCTCTCACTCGACGCAAGTACCCCGCAGCGTCTGGGGTGGCCTCATCAGGAATAACAACAAGTCCCGCAGTAGAGGAGGGACCCTTGTGTGGCACGCTCCCCTGAACCATGCCGTCGTCACCACGGCTCTGAACACTACAGGGCCCCACATCGGTGCCACCACGCTGCGGAGGAGGAAGAATAGTCCTAAGTACTGAAAACACCTCAGTCTTGGCTTCGAACAGCACCGCATCCATCCGCGATCTGTGGGACGTATCTGTCACTACCCCACTCGAGGAGAAGGACCGGTGAACAGAAGGTCTGCTGCCAATCTGGTGGTTTTCCATTCTTTCGTCTAACTGTTGCCATTGACTAAGGAGTGATTCTGCTTTTCGAAAAATGGCAGACACCGTTGCAGTCGTGCTTGAATTAGCCATAGGCGAGAGCTCTTCGTTATCCTCTCCACATTTTATTCCTTCCCTCTCTTCTTCACAAATAACGGCAGAAGATCTTGTTACCGGGGGCCTCCCGGCCTGCTTGCTCGTGCGCGCATGTGCTGCCCTGCGACGGGGTGAGACGTTACGAGACCTCGCCGCCAGACTGCCCTGCGGTCCTGTGCGCAGTGGACGCGCAGACCGAGTGAAGTACCGAGGTGCCCACCGCAGAAGTGAGCTTTGCCGGATCATTAATCAGAAACGGCAGCCCTCTGGGGAATCACCTTCACTTAAGTAGCACGAGAAAAAAAAAAAAACAATAACAGAGAAAGAGTACCTTGGCACAATGTTCACAGCAGCTGTAGTACATAGAAAGACATACTCTGCGTTCCAAAAAACAATAACAACAGCAACTGATAAAGAGGGGATCATCCTGCTTTCCCTTTCCCTTTAACCCAACCAAAAAAAAGCGCGGAAGAGCGCGCATACACACATGCCCCCCAAACATCTTTCCCACAAATATGTACACGTTCAAACACAGTTTCACAAAAAAAAAAAAATAGTCACCATCTGTAGCAATGTGCCACGTCATATATGTATATATATACTTCCACGGCAGATGTAACTACAAACGAAGACATGTATATAAATAGAAATTTGCATTCCCCTGAGACGTTCTCTTCGTAGAGAAACGGCCATCACCACAGCGCGAACCCACATTAAACAGATTGAAAATACCGAATTATTGTTGGTATAAACAAATAAAAAAGAAAACAGCGAAAATAAAATCACATTGCCAAGCATTCAGTTATAACTTTGTTCACCCCTTCCCTAATACCATCGTGAGAAAAAAAAGGCCGTGCGGAAGCGTGGGGGACCTGTCTCATTATGTAATCACCCACACTGCAGCACAGCAGCTGGATCTTCGGAGTGGACGAGGAGATCTGTTTGAAGAAATCCAGAATCTCAGCAGTGACACCAGCCGATACTACAGACGGAATGGCGACAGAACCGGCGATGACACGTTGAGAATGATCCAAGTCTCCTCGTTCTTTTTCGTGTGGGGAATGCACGTGGTGGTGCCCCCGTCAGACTCCCAAGGATTGTTAGGCTCATTGCGCTCAGTAGAGCTCGGGAGGGAGGGGCCAGAATGTGTTTGTCAAGGTCTCGTTCAAGCACCTGCAGAACAGGATCTTTCAGCAGCATGCCGTGCCTCCCTCCTCCCAGTCGAGACGCATGACTGCGGCCCCCCGCGCGTTGCGGGTGGTAGAATAAGGAGGAGCGGATGCTCGACCTCGACTTCCTTCTACATCTTCTCCAGGTAGATGCGGAAGGAGGCTTCCACAGGTTCGAGAAGAGAATACATCTCAACATCCATTAACGCATCGATAAAATAGGAGACCGGAGCAGCATCACCTTCCTCCATGTCGGAAGAATACCACATGTTTATGTGATGTGTCACCTCCGCCAGGAGTGTGGGGTCAAACATATAAGCAACGTGAGGGGGCAGGCACATGGTCACAAGGGGCCAGGAGCAAACCGTACGGTGGGTGCAAAACGCGATGCTCCCCGCACAAAGTCATCTTTCGCCCAGAAGGACCCCGCTTCGCCTGCATCTGCCCTGAGCACGTGTAGTCACCTTAATGAGTTCTGCGATGGATGCAAACGTCACGGTGCACCCTACCCAATGAACTGCACCATCAGCCTCACATACACCCCACTGCAACTGCTGCGCGTGCTGCACACAGCATAGAAGAGGAAAAATGAATGTGAACAAACTACATTCGGTCGTTATCACCAGAGGGTATTGTCTCCCGTCTTCTCGCGGCACCCAGGAAGGAATAAGCATCAAGTCATCGTCTCTGTCCACTCGAGGGTATACTGGGGTCTGGCGAGGGGATGTCACCAGAGATCCTGGCATACGTGGACGGTGTTTCCCAAGCACAGCACCGTGGCTGCTGTTGGCATCGCTATCAACGCCCTCCTGTGGGGGTTCCAGCGTGACGTTCAGTTTACCTTAAAACAGTGTGCTCATCTTTCGCGTTTCTCTCTCATGATACCTGCGCAACACGGAAAGAGAAGCGAATAACTATACATATGTATCGATGATACCAAAAAAAAAAGAAAAAAAGATGGGATTTGTTGCTTTGAGTTAAGAGAGGGTAAATGAACAATGAAGAGACACACACACCGGCAGTATTCCTTCTCCTCTTTTTTTAAATGTTTCTTCTTCATTTCTCTCTCAAGAAGTGCATGCATTCCCTATCGAACGAACACATGCCTTTACACGACTAGGGTTCTCATTTCCTTCAACTGGCTGCTTTCAACACACATTCTTCATTTCCTCTCTCCACTCCTTCTCTTCTACCGGTCAACTATGCGAATCCTCCATATGGGAGCTGAAGTGCAACGTACGAATGTCGGCCAGGGCTACAGTCTTTGTAACCTTTGTGCCAGCCAGCACCATTTCTAGTCGATCGTTAGAGCCCATACGTCTGATGTTCCTTCGCGTAAGGGGAAACACAACTTCACTGCGCCCAATTGCCAACCGTTGGGCAGGTCCGAGTCGCACACGCACAACTCCCCCACCGCCTTCCCAAAGGCTCCGCAGAAACCCTCCAATGCCCTCAAACCAGTTGATTTGAACATCAATCACGTGCTTGCGCTCGAACTGTCGACGAATAGTGGGGAGACAGATCTCGGTGACGTCTCCATGTAGAAGAGAGCCATTGTGAAGGTAAACCATATCCCACGTACGCATCGTCCGTATGGCACTGGCAACCCGACTTTCCTCTGACAGCGACAGTGAGAGAGGAACTTTCGTAGGGTGGAAAAGGGTGTGACACAACGAGCGCACAACACCGTCCCCCCAAAACCCCCTAAAAACTGACGGCCCACGCGCTTCGTGCATGAGTTGCTCTGCATACGCCTGGAACCCCAGGAGGTCAAAAACACAGTCCTTCTGCTTGACAGTGCTGGGGTCTAGCACCACTGCGGAGTTTGTGAAGACAACCACTGGCACGACAAGCGTACCGCACTGCTTGTGAACCTGGCGGTCTGTGTACCATGTGCCATGCTCCCTTGACGCATTCGACCCCGCGTCACCAGTGGACGAGATACCGCTGGTGACCGAATGGTGGTCTGGGAGTGCGATACGTCTGCTGTTTTCAATGAAACGCCGCAGCGCTGCCGCCTTCACCAGGTTGTCTTCCTGAATGTCCTCAAACTCCAAGGCACGCTTAGAATCATGCGAGCGATGAAACCAGCGTGGCCCGTTACACCACACTTGGCCCCGCCAGTGCTTCACCTCCACCACGAGTACAACCGGACCCACAGCAACGACGTCTATCTCGCGGTTGTGCCCTAGGCGCTGCACGTGCACGCGGCGACGAAGAAACACGTGCTTCCAACCAGCAGCACGCAGCGCTGCCTCAACCAGCTCCTCCGCCTCCATGGAGGCCAGAAACTGCGAGTCGCGCACTGACATCCTGGCGAATGACAGAATATGGCGCCAAGACCAAGACGACAAGCTGTCACGGAAGATCCCTCGACGTAGACCAGCTGCAACAACTAGAAGCAACAGGGTAGGAATCGCAAGCAGCGCATACGGCAGCCAGTACAGCACGTCATCCACATAGTCTAGCATCAGTCTTTGACAAGACACACAAAAAAAGGGAAAAGAATTTTATCAAGCACATACACAGGTACACCAAATCACAGCAAAGAAAAAAAACAAAATACACCAAAACAGAGGGAAAAAATGATGACACAGCATAGTACCAAAGCTATGGCGTGTAAGGAAAACCTTTGAGCGATTTCCCTATAAGTCCTTCACATTTACGGTATTCTCACCTTTCTACCATATTCGCACTTCTTTATTTTTATTATTATTATTTCTTTAACCTTTATGGGAATTTCTCCAAACAAGCTAAACATACCACGTTCAGATCAGGTCACAGAATATTTCACTTCATTCTAAGTAGTAAAGCATAAACAAAAAATTATTACAACAATAAAAAAAAATTTCCAAAAATCATAAAATTCTCCTTTTCCATTTCTCACTCATCAAAATATTCTTTACTTACCTTTTTAACTATTTCCCAGATACCATCACAGCAAGGGGATCTTCATATTTAAAGCAACTCCCTCAAGCGGAGGGTTCTGTGAAAACAATCCTGATGCCAACACCAGAAATAGAGTTATCTTCCTCAGCAATCAACTTTGCCCCAGCGGGGAGTTCCGCAAGCGGTGCCCATTTACCTCTTATGGTCGCATTCACCTGATCCCTGGAGTTGACGATGGAATTTGCGAGTTCAGGATCCTCAGCTTCGTAGTAAACTTCCACCACATCTGTCACGACGAGCTTTGCCTTCTTGCGAAGCTGTTGCACGCGATTAACAAACTCGCGCGCACGCCAGGAATCAACGAGAGCCTGATCCTCACGCTTGTCAACAAGAACCACCACATCATTGTCTGTGTTGCTTTCGAAATCGGTGATGCCCTCCTTGAATTTTCGAAGAACCTTGACGTCCTCAAGTGAGATGCTCTTTCCGCACAGCTCAGCCTGACCTGTTTTCAGGAACTGCGCCACCGCCTCCGGCTCCATCGCCTGGATGGCCTTGCGAATCTGAGGTGCCTCCTTGCGGTAGCGTTTGCCCAACGCCTCCATGTTGGCGTCCAACTGTGTCGTGACGTATTCGTCACCAGAGGACAATACAACGTCGAACGCATTCACTTCGTCCTTGATGTATTGAACCACCTTCTCCACGTCGTCCAGATAGGACTGCTCGGGGTGCACGATGATCACCTGCCGCACCGGTCGCTTTATGGGAATAACCATGCGGTCTCTCAGCACGCGACAAAGGTCAACAATAGTCATCATGCGCGTCATGGCACGTTCCAGTGCCTCGTCGTGTCTCTTCGCATCGTCGTCAGGGAACATGAGATAGTGCACGGAGTCCACCTGCTGTGCCGCAGGGAGCAGTGGCTTGATGCGCTGATACAACATCTCTGCCACAAACGGGGCGATGGGTGAGATGATGCGGCTGACCGAAAATAGGACCGTTAACATGGTCGAGAGGGCCTGAGAGCGGTCATCCTGATCCACAGCGTTCTTCATACGGCGGCGATTCATACGGACATACCAGTTGGAGAGATCTATCACAAAACGCAGAACACCAGGGACAACATTAAAGAGATGATACAGCTCCATCTCCCGCTTCACATACTGCTGCAGCGTTTGCGTGGACGCAAGAATCCAGCGATCCATCTCGTTCGTACTTACCACGTCGACTGATACATTTCCACCGGCCTGAACGCAATAGTTTGCATTCGCAATGAAGAACTTGCTCGCATTGAAAAGAGGGAGCATCACATCCTTCACAATGCCCTTAACTCCTTGTTCGCGGAATCGCAAAGGCTCTGCTCGCACCACAGGGGAATTGATCATGTACATACGCAACGCATCTGCACCGTGTGTGTTGATGACAATCGATGGCTCCGGGTAATTCTTCAGTCGCTTGCTCATCTTCTTTCCGTCCTCTGCGAGTATCAATCCGTTAACAACGACATTTTTGAAGGGGGCGACGTCAAACAAAGCAACACCCAGAACAAGCATCGTGTAGAACCAACCGCGAGTTTGGTCAAGCCCCTCTGCTACGAAGTCCGCCGGAAATCGCTCCTCCAGGAAGCCCTCCTTGTTCTCAAATGGGTAATGCGACTGGGCATACGGCATCGAGCCGGACTCAAACCAGCAGTCGAACACAACCTCAACACGTCGTAGCGGTGGTTTGCCCGGTCTCTTGCTTGGAATAGTGATATTGTCCACAAAATGTCGGTGGATGTTTGTGATGCCTGTTACACCCGAAAGTTCCTCCAGTTCCGCCACACTGCCAACACAAACAACCTCCTCCCAGTCCTCGCTGTGCCAGATAGGCAGTGGCGTGCCCCAGTAACGGTTACGAGAGACATTCCAGTCCTTCGCATCCTCCAACCAGTTGGAGAAACGGCGTGTCTTAACGAAATCAGGTACCCATTCTGTCTTGGCATTCGCTACCAACAGACGGTCTTTGATTGCCTCCACATTGACGAACCAAGCATCAACAGCCTTGTAGAGCAGTGGAGTCTCGCTACGCCAGCAGAATGGGTAGCTGTGGACAATGGACCCCTTGCTGTGAACCAGACCCCTTGACTCGAGATGTTTTAGAATATCCGGATCCGCTTCCTTCACGTAACGACCACTGAAATCGACCACTTCGGAAGTAAATGCGCCGTTCTCGTCAACGGGGCACAGTAACTGCTCTTTCGACAAGACACCATTGGAGATGCAGATGCGACAATCCTCCTCACCAAAACCAGGGGCCTGGTGCACAATACACGTACCGGTGTCTGTTGTCACGTACGTGTCGCTGATGACACGGAACGCCGTCTCACCAAAGGTCTTCTCGAAATACGGAAAAAGGGGCTCGTACTTGGTGCCGATAAGATCAGTTCCCTTCATGCGACTCACAATGGTGTATGGCGGCTCCTGTGTTTCATTCTTGTTGTCGCCCTTCTTTTTCTTTGCCGGATAAACTTCACTGAGACGAGCCTCACCGAAAATGTAATGACGCTTTGTCTGGTTGTCCAGAACCTTCACGTATTCCAAATCGGGATGCACGCAAAGTGCCAAGTTACTCGGAAGAGTCCACGGAGTTGTGGTCCACGCCAGCATATAGGTATTGGGATCATCCTTCGTCCGGAAGGTCACCATCACAGAGGGGTCGCTTACATCCTTGTAGTTTTGGTTGGCCTCGAAATTGCTGAGCGGTGTGGTGCACCCTGTTGAGAAAGGCATTACCTTGAAGCCGCGATACACAAGTTTTTTTTCCCATAACTGCTTGAACACCCACCAGACGCTCTCCATGTAGGAAAGATACATGGTTTTGTAGTCATTATCAAAGTCAATCCAGCGTCCCATGCGGCTCACCGTCTTGCGCCACTCCGAAGAGTAGCGCATCACAATGCTCTCACACTCACGGTTGTAGTTATCGATGCCGAACTTATTCACATCGTGCGAAGACTTAATCCCGAGGTGCTTATCAATCTCAAACTCAATTGGAAGTCCATGACAGTCCCAGCCAAAACGACGCTCCACGTGATGTCCGGTCTGGTGAGCGTAACGGCACACAGTGTCCTTGATGGTACCGGCCAACAAGTGGCCATAGTGCGGCAAACCCGTCGCGAACGGAGGTCCGTCAAAGAAAGTATATGGCTTCTTTCCCTCCGACTGCCTGAGTGACTCACGGAATGCGTCCACTTTGGCCCAGTGCTGCAGCACCTCCTCCTCCATCTTGGGGAAGTTCAGCTCACTGTCGAAGTTCTGCAGTGGACCCCCACCTGAAGCCTTAGCGCCTTCACATGCAGCCATATCTCCTTCACCTTTTCCTGCTTGTGTGGAAGAAAAACACTTTGCTAGCTTGCCGTCGTCAACCCCACCGTCAGGCAGAGAAAATGAAACAGAGGAAGGGTTGGAGGAAGGCATACGAGAGTAAATGAGAGTACGCCGTGCCGAGGAAAAGTGGTTTTTGCTATCTTTACCACCTTTCGCTGCACAGCGCCATACAAATGTGATGCAGCGTAACATCAATTCAAACCGCTTGAAGCTTCTTTGGGTTAGTTATTTTCGTTTGTGTTTGTATTTACACACTCACGTGTGTGTCTCCGTGAGTATATATTTCTGCGTGTGTGTGTGTGTGTGTGTGGGTTTCGACGTGAGAATATCCCCCCTGTCAACTCTGAGCTCTCTCAATTTTGTGCTCCCAACACGGTTGGTTTGCACCACAAAGCTACACCCAGTAATGGAACGATAGTATTGCCCTCGCTTATCACTTCTCTGTTTCCAGGGAAAGGAACACAAACACACACACAAAAAAAAAAAAATAATAATAATAAAACGCCACACCAATTGTGTTAAAAAACAACAAGAAAGGGCAGCAACAGAAATAATAAACAATGAGGGGGAACAATATGGCTCTACACGTCACCTCCAACTTACATGTACATTCTTACACCATGATATATTCACCCCACATCATCACACTGCACTACACAACCCACGAAAAATCAAGTATCGAGTTAACAAATGAGAAACGGGTGTTTACAGGATGAAAAAAGTAGTCCTCTCCCACCCCCACCCCAGAAAAAACGTCGTATACCGCAACTTAGACCAGGATTCACATAGTATTTTATATTAAAATAATGAAGAAGACAATATACAAGCAAAACTTTCCCTGCACAAGTAAGAACATGGTTTTGTAAGGCGAGTCAATTTTTCATAATGGTGTGTATAATGACACGCCTAGTAAATGATGGTATTAGCTTTACTACAACAACTTACACTCTCTTTTTTTCGTTTTGATTGTATTAATACCACAGGCACTCGCTCACACGATTTGTGGTACCATATTTATAGGTGAAAGCAGCAAAAAAAAAAAGAATAATATTTGACTTTTTTTTTGAACTTCATTCACTTGACATGAGAAAAGATATCTTTTTGTGGTAACATAGTAGTATTCAAGTACGCAAAAAAAGTGAGAAAAATAAGTTAAGGGAAGTATCGTATATTTTTATGCGTTAAGTAGCAAGTATTTTTCAGCTTTGGATATAGTGACACCTACACCCTACCGTTACTGTCAATATAATATAGGGACATATATTGTTTACCTTTTTTTTTTTTTTTTCTACATTTATACCACCCACAGTGATTATTCCGGGGGATAGTATTATGAAAGCAAGAATGTCCTATTCGGTTTACATACGCACATATTTCCCCCCACCCTTTTTTTTTTCTCTTTCCCGTTTTGTATGTTCATTTGTATTATTATTCCCAAATAGAAACCGCTTTCGATTAACACCACGTTTAGCATATTTCTTTTTTGTCTTCTTGTATTATTCCCCATTTGTACAGTTAAAGTAATTATTCATCTGAGTCTATTTTTTTTTTTTTGGTAACACATTATTTAGTTTTTTTTTTTTTCTTCAAGATGACTGCAGAGTCCAAGCAGAAATAGAAGCAAACAAAAAAAGTTCATGAGTTGTGAAAAAAAAAAAAAAAAGGTGTTATTGCCCATAACGTCCATCGCTCTCATATCCGCTATCCATTATTATTCCTTATTATTTTCTGTCACTGCTGTTGGTAGCACTTCTTGTGCATATGATGATTCCATACTCTTCACCAATTGATCAATATTACTTTTTGAGGTTTCTTCATCTTTTACTTTTTCTTCTCCTTCAACATCTTTCATTGATGGGTAGAGGACTGAGCAAAAACCATTGGTGGGAGTAAAAGGCAACAAGGTAACATCTTCTTCGTTCATCTGTAACTTTAAATGACGGAACGGCTCACCAATTTCCAATGTAGTCGAACACAAACCTTCACTTGAAGATGTTACAGATGGTACACAATCAGGAGACTCATTCGAATTTAGTTTTTCCTCCTGGTGTATTTTTCCAGGGGATGTTAAGCATATCTTCTTTGTGTATTTACTCATTATCCCAGACAAACACACATTTTCCTCCAATGTACCATTTTTTTTCCTACGCCGCACTGTGTTAGTGGTATCATCTTTAACTGTTTGTCGAAGTGCAGGAAGTGATCTTTGTGGTGATAGTTTATACTGTGAGTTTCCATTAAAGCCGCGATTCCCTGGACTTGTTGGTGGACTATCTCGTCTGCCAAGTGCCTCAAATGTGGGATCCATAACGGCAAAGTTGCGTGTTGGAGAACGGGGCATTGGTACATACACATCTCGATTACGCAAAACCGTGCGATAGAGTTCAAAGGCATCATCTGTGTATGGAGTGAAGAGCGCATGGGCAATCACCGGCAACACTACAACGATGGCATACCCTATCACAGGAAGAATACCACACACGTAACACACTACTATACAAGAAGAAAACTGAAGGATCATTAGTAAAATAATGGCTATACTACGATCATTTCCCATTTTTACTCCTGTATTATTATCTGTGCCATTTTTCACATTTCTAAAAAAAGTACCTCGTTTGATAAGATGCATACTCACACTTATAATGAGAATTAATGCAGAGTGAGGTATAAAAAAGACAAGCACAATAGATATCAATAATGTCCAATTAAAATAGTTTCTTGAGAACCAGAGGAGATTAACTAAAATACGAGTCATGTACATGTATCGAATTGGCAAAGACGGTCTAACAAAAAATTCAGATGAAGGTCGTTGTTGTTGACCTAAAGAAGCATCCCAGAGAATAGAAAGTACAAGAATCATGCCACTTTCGCTACCATTCGCTCGTAACGGTGTCAGTCTACCGTCTTGCGAGTCAGTAGACATATTTCTCTCAACCATACAGGGAGATTTACAAAGGAAAGGGAAAAACAAAACGTCCCTTTATATATATATATATCTATAAATAGATATAGATATTCTATGTTTCCTTTCCATATGTGAAAGCAAAGAAAATAAAAAACGAAAAAAAAGGGTAAAACTCTTTTCAAAAAACGGTCTTTACCACCGAACATACGCAAAGCACAGCAAACACAATAAATGGAAGGAATTTAAAGGGAATATATAAATAAATATAATATGTAAAAAAAAGGAAAAGAGAAGAAATAAAAAGAAAGAACAAAAAAAAATTTGTAATTTTTTAATTATAACTTCTCTCAGGTTTAAGATTAAGCGAAAGAAAGGGGTAAAATACAATGCACATGGGTACGTATATAAAACGATCCGTGAAATTACGTAAAACAATGAGAAAAAAAAAACAACAAACAAAAAAGTTAAGAAGATATCTGTCCAAATAATAATAATAATAAAAACGCCAAAACTCTTTCCTTTCTTCCAACCCTCTTAATAAAGAAAAAAGAAAACCAAAACATAACAGGCTTACTTCCTCAATCTAAACGCTGAAGCATTCCCTGAAGTTCTTCTGTACTAACTTTTCGTATACGTATACCATCTGTTACTAAACCACGCCGCTCAAGATGTAGCGCTATTCGAAGAGCCAGTAAATGTTTACATAACCACGTCTCTTGTCGCCGCATCCCTTGATAATTATATGCCCCACAAGGACAAAAGTACGGAGATAAAAGGCAATGTTCACCAACAAAGTAAAGACACCTTCCTGTAAAGTTATTCACACCATTATGTAAATCATCCTTTGATGATGATGGCTGCTGCTGTTGATCTTGCTCTTTACTCGAATTACTCTCAATGGTATCATCACATGCCACAAATCGTGTAATAAGTTCCGCGCCATGCAATGCAATCCCAACTGCAGAAGTGAATACTTTCCCGTGTATCAACTGCAGAGTTGCTAATGCCTCTTCAAGCCAAGTATTAGATAGAGGTGTTACCTCTGCTGCTGCATTTTCAGCTAATGCACGCTGTGTGGCGAGACGATCTGCGTAGTTATCCAAAGCGAGTTCCGTTAAAAGTTCAGGAACACCATGAGCATTTCGAGGGAACATTACAAATTTACCCGTACACTTGTACTCTCAGATGATACAAAAACACAAAATAATATACAGGCAATTTTAAATTGCCAATGTCTGAGTTATTATGACTTTCTATTCTTAAAAGGGAAAGAGAAAAAGAAGGAAAAACGAAAAAAAAAAAAAAAAAAAAAAAAGAAATAGAGAAAGAGACATCTTCAAACATTTTTTAGATAAACCACAGATGTACATATATATATATATATATATATATATATATATATATATATATTAGAGAGAGAGAGATAAGTATACCTTTAGTATTACCGTTGACGACGTTGTTTACCACCTTTATTCTGTCGAGCATCTTGACGCGGCCGTTCATCATGACGCCGGCGATCGTCATGACGGTGTCTATCATCATTACGTTGTCTCTCATCGTTACGTTTTCTATCATCATTACGTTGTCTCTCATCATTACGTTTTCTATCATCATTACGTTTTCTCTCATCATTACGTTGCCTTCCATCTCTTGAGTACTGTGAGGCCGTGCTTGTGTGTTGTTGTTGCTGTTGTGGTGGTGGTGGTTCACTGCGGTGACTCTTGTGTGTACTTTGCGAGTGTGGTCGCTTTCTTCCACCACGACTATCATCTCTGCGTCGGCTGCTTGAACGGCGTCTACGGCGATCATCCGAGTGATGACGCCGGCGGTGCTTACTGCTGCTTCTTCTTCGCTTTGCCCGTCTTTCTTCCTCTTCCTGCCGCCGTCGCCGCTGGACTTCTTTCAAGTCTTCAAAATGAAATTCTTCCTCAATAGAGCGTTCGGCAAGAACGGGTGCAGCGCTACTTGCCGACAACACACCTGTGTTCTGTCCATCTCCCAGAAGAGAAAGACCAATACCAACACTGTTATTGATACCACTACTATTATTATTCGTATTAGTATTGTTATTATTATTATTATTATTATTATTATTATTATTACTAGTATTACCATTATTATTGGGTTGCAAAGCCATATTTCCACCCATAAGGAGATTAAGGTTGAGTGTTGATTGAAAAGCCTCTAGCGGACCAAGTGAAGCCACAACGGGAGGAACGGCGAGTGGTGGATTTGAAGCAGCTAAATTAGACATGGAAGATGGTAAATTAGGGTTTGAATCCACCATAGTTGTCTGTTGAAGAGATACAGCAGCATTTGATTGATTCTCATTTGTAGGAATATTTCCTAGAGTTTCATAGTTTCCACCCACTTCAGTTACCGTGGGTATTGCCGATGTTGTTGTTGTTGTTGTTGTTGTTGTTGCGTTTGTTGTATTTGTTGCAGCTACAGGATAACATGGTTGACAATGTCGTGTTGCAATTAAAAGATTAATATTTTCATTTTCAGAGCTTAAGGCTTCTTCAAGATATTTACGGTGAATACGAAGAACTGCATTTAACTTTGCCTTGTCTACACCGAAGGCCATTATCCATTCTTCTGGAAGTCCATTAATGTTAGCAGGTCGTGTGGAGAAGAGTGCACATAAAGCCAGCACATGTGCTTCTTCTGTATACAAATCAACAGATCTAGGTATATCATTTAACCAACAAACAGCATCGGCTAACCATTTTTTCAATGCTATATTTGCAAAGACTCCATTTACAGAGGTGAGTTTACCACTTGCCGTACCAAATTCCTTATTAATAAAAGCATCATCATTTTCATTTTCATCATCAATCAACATCCCAAGAAAAATAATAGCATACTTAAAAGGACATTCTACAAATGTCTGAAAACCAAGTGCAGGTAATATAATCTCTTCAGCCTCTAATACACATTCTTTAAAATCATTACAACGTTCTTGAGAAGGTTGTAAAAGTTCAATAACAGGTTCACCACGACGACGTTGATTAAGACGCATAAATATACGTACAATATGTGAAATATGTGTGGATGGATCTTCAATTTTAGCTGTTATTAAAACACATGCTGCGGCAAGATAGAGTATATCATCATGTTTTCGTAGGTTAAACAAACAATAATCAAGTGGTGCGTATACGTCGCCTAACACTAAAACTCCAGATGGTCGCTCCGTACCAACATGAGCCGGAATAATATATGATTTTAATTCCATATCTGAAGAAGAAGAAGTTGCCGTAATAGCAGAAGTCATGGTTGTTGCTATTTCATTCCCATCACGTGGTTCTCGCACTCCATTCTCTTGTTGATAATCACCACGTTTTCTTCTCACTTCCTCAGCCACTGCCTGAAAGCGTTGAAATAACACCGCGGCTCTGTACGCCACAGAGGGAGTTGTGCGAAGAAGAAGACAACCAGTTCTAATGAGATCAGCACCATAGGCACAATAACTGCGCCTGGCATCATCCATCCATCCAGTAAGTAATGACATTATTTGATTCTTCTATCGTTTCTTTTCTTCTTTTCTTTTTTTCTTTATCTTTTCTTATTTTTTTCTCTTTCTCTCTGTTGTTGTTGTTGTTGTTGTTATTATGGTTATTCTTTCTTTCTTTCCTTCTTTCCTTCGTCAAGAGTGTGAGTGGTATTTCTTCACTATTCTCCACTTCTCTTTACTGCTAGAAGATCATGGGAAAACGAAAAAAACAAAAAAAAAAAAAACATGATAATAAAAAGGAGAGAATACTTCAGATATGAGAAAGAGTAAAAACAAGAACAAATTAAAAACACACAAAAGAAGAAATACAAACAGTGCAAACAAACAAACAAAGAAAGAAAAATAAAAATATACACTGATTTACGTAACCCATCAAAGGTAAATGATAAGAGATTAAGAATTAACACCATAAAGTTCTTGCTTTTGCTTTTGCCGCTGCTGCAACAAACAACAACAACAAAGAAAAAAAACACACACACACACACACCTGTAATACTCATCAACTCTCCTAGAACCAGTCTTTAGCCAGGTACGCACACTAACAAAAGAGTTTGAGTATTACAAATCATCATCCATAATCATAGAATCTTCATCATTCCCATAATCAGCGCCATTGTAAATATCTTGATCCATTCCAATTGAATTCATATTATCTGATGATTGTCCTTGTTGTTGACCAGTTACTTTTTCCTGTGATGCCGGCATTTTTCCCCTAATCATTGCCTGAAGAGCAGCGAACTCTTCATTGTTGAGATCCATAATAGATGGATCTATCTTTGCCACTGCTTCCCTGTCACCACGTAATAGTCCCTGCTGCATTGCTGTTATCTCTTCACGTGAGAAAATATCATGTCGACGATTTTCCTTTCGTTCCATTTGATCCATCATTCGTTCAACCTCCATCTCCTTTGGATCAATTTCTTCCATTACATCCGCCTTAATCATTGTACGGAGTTCTGCATATCGTTCAGCAGAAAGACTCTTTCTCTTTGTGCATATAGGTGATGTCTGACAGAGTGAACGGGCCAAGGTCTCACCATCTGCATACTCAGGGAGATGTAAAAGCTTCGGAGTGAGTTGATCCATACTATCATGATCCATAATAGCTTCACACGCCTCCACTATTGTTGTACATGTACGTTTACACTTTGTGAATACCGGCAATTCTTCTATTCCCAGTAAGAAGGGAGCTGTCATTGCGGAGTAGTTAATAGCCACTCTACGTATCCATTGTCCAGTTTCTGCGAATGGATTACAAACATCCTCAATAGCTGTGAGGATATCATCTTCATTAACACGCACACGAGTCTCAACACTCGCTGCGAAAAGAGCCTGCACATCAAGGTAAGTTTTTCTTACCAAGAGACTACAGATATCACAGCTAATCGCATCAATGGCGTCCTTTGGAAAAGGTTCATTCAATGGCTTTTCCTTCTTGGCATTTGTCAACGTTAAGAGTGTTGCTGCTGATATGAGTAACACAAAATACATTAAGGACCGCATTGTTGTTTTTTTTTCTTTTTTCTTTTTTTTTTTTTACAAAACGTCAAAAAAGGAGAGTTTATACGTTTCACTTGAGGTTCAAATGTTTACAAATTTTAATTTTTTTTTTGTTTTTTCTTCTTTTTATTATTTATTTCCTTCTTTCCCTTTTTTTTCATGTTGTGGGGCAATGAAATTTTCATAATACATCATGAATCACAATTAAAAAGAAATACAAATAAAAAAAAAAAAAAAACAAATAATAATACCAATAACAGTAGTAATAATAATAACAACAGTAGTAATAATAACAATAACAGTAATGATGATAATAATAAGCATAATATTAATAGGAATTCCCAAAACAAAAAAAAAGAAAAATAGTACATGGAAAAAGAATAATAAAAAAAAAAATACACAAAAATAAATAATAACCCCCAAAAGGGAGAGAGGTAATAAACATATCTGCTCTTCATTCTATCTTTCTCTCTCCTTTTTTTTTCTTAATAAGGTTTACGGTCCTGTAGAGGAAGAAGCAGAATCTGAAGAATTATTATTATTATTAATATTATTAGACTTCTTTTCAAAGGCTTCACGAATACGATGAATACCCTCTGCATAGTGTTGACCAGATTGACGAAGTTCTTCATCATCATCGAGATCATTAAAGTAATAATACACAATAGTTCGTAACCAATCCGGTATATTATCTTGTCGTGCAAATCGAATTGCTTTTTGATTAATATAATGTCCTAAAGGTTCACAAGCACGTACCATACGTGTTTCTAAATTGTAAATATGTGTAAAGAGTGAAATATGAGTAATATCATGAACTTCTTCCTTTACAACTCCTCCAAATCGTGCGGCGGAAAATGGATTTTGTGTAAATCTTTCCATTTCTTGTTCCTGTTGTTGTTTATCTGGCGTGGTAAGATAACCGTTAAGTAGTAATTGTAACTCTTGATGAGTATTTGTTAATTTCTTTGCTGGCAGGACACTTTTTTGAATGCGTCCACTTTCTTTCATTTCCTTTTCATCTTGATATAATAACATACATCCTTCTAATTCAATGAGTTTAGATAATACTTTCGCAGATCCAGGAGCTAAATCCACCGCATGATCACCGAAACCAGCACAGACAAAGGAATTAAAGGAAGCACCATTGTTGGCTATTAATGGTACACCATCAGGAGTAAAGGCCCGAACATAACGTTTAACTCTCACAGGATCTATTAACTTTGTTCCCTGAGCATTATTATTATTATTATTATTATTATTATATTGTTGTTGTGGTGGTTCTTGTTGAAAGCGGTTATACCATTGTAAAAGAGGGATATGAATGCCACACTTCACATGTAGGTATTTTTCTATAGATGATAACGCACTCGTACTCTCAGACTGCGTTTGTTTAGTTGTATCAAATGACAATAACCCTTGCAAAACAATAGTATTATTATTATTATTATTATTATTATTATTATTATTATTATTATTATTATTATTACTTTTACTACTGTTTTCATTAGGGACTTTATAAACCATTAAGTTAGAGTTTGGTACAAGTGATATCATATCTACAGAACTCTTAGAAAGAATCTCATCTAATTTTCCAACTCCCTCTCTACGAGGAGTATCAGCCTGCATGATAAGAGAGGATCCACTTAATCCGATAATAGGGAGTTGTGAAGAATCCCATGTTAGTGGTCCTGTTTGAGCACCAGCAGTAAGTACTACAATATCAAATGAATGATTTTCAAATTCTTTCTGACCATTAACTTCTCGAGAAAAACGAAGTGTAGATATCATTTCATCATTAAATCGAAGGTAAGTAGTACAATCTAATAGTTTTTCTCCAAATCTAAATTCAACACCATATTTTTCATAACATATTTTAGCTAATTCTTGTGTCCATCCCACTGGATCAATCATTAATGGTCTAACATGTGCAGTGGATATTGGAGATATTTCAGTTTTATTATTATTATTATTATTATTATTATTATTATTATTATTATCTTTTTTTTCTGTACTTGTTAAACAACCCACTGAGACATCTCGACTAATAATAAAAGGCCTTAAACTCTGATGTTTAGATGAAAGTTCCTCCATTACTTCTACACTTAACCGTGAGAGATTATTTGTATAACGCATTACTTCTTCTGTTGTTAGTTTGCTCCATCGTCGTGACCACAACCATCTATGAATAGGTGAGGAAAAAAAACAATTCCATGCATTTTCAGATGAAATAATATCTGGACAAGTAAAAGAAAATGCCCCCCGCAACAATTCACGGTTCATATTAAGTGTTTGAATATATGGATAAAGAAGACCAACACCAACAAATGGAAGAGCGTATTGTGTTTCTCCCAAACCAACACTACGGCGTTGCTCAAAGACAGTTACATGGAATCCAAGTTGAGCCAGTTCATAGGCAATGTGAACACCAGAGATACCAGCGCCAATAACAGCTGCGGTAGGAGTGGAAAGATCAAAGTCTTTTAATACTTTATCCACATCACTTTCTTGGGATAAAGAATTCGATAAATTCTTTGAAAAGGAAAAGTGTGAGGAAAAATTTCCCATTGCAATTATTTATTTATTTATTTTTTCTATTCCACCAAAATAATGGTCCTCCCTCAACACAGACTCCAATGTATTAAAGCTATGTATATATTTATATATTTATATATGTGCCCCCTATTCTATCACATAAAAAAAAAAAAAAAGCAAAATCACAATGTAAATAAAGCAGTTGAGGTTCAACAGTTTTGTATCCATTTTTTTTTTTATTTAAAGAAAAGCGAGGATACAAAGAAAAAAAATAAAAATAATAATAATAATAATTTATTTACAGAGTTTACAGCAGGAAAACACCAACATAAGAAGAAAAGATAGATAGATAGATAGAAGGAGAGAGAGAGAGAGAGAAAGCCCCAAACGTAATGACTAATAGCAACCCTTCTTCATTCCACAGGAACTAAAAAGGATGCTGCATCACGAAGCCACTCCTCTTGTACCACTGAAACATCTTTCATATATCGTTTCGTTGTGCGCACCACACTATTAAAAACCACCAAAGCCGGTTTTTTACGCAGTGTAAATAATACAGAAGAAGGATGAAGATGCACTACTTGTTGTCCCACAATTGTTTGATAATTTCCAATCTTTGCATTGTAAAAGGCACCATTGAGAGAAAATCCATAACACAATGCACGTCGAAGTAATTCAAAATCACGTAACTTAACGGCTCCAAATTCTTGTTTATTAGGAATATCAAAAGATGTATCATAATCATCATTATTACTATTATCATAATTATTATCGTCACGTTTACGTTTTTTATTCCATGATTTCTCTTGACCAAGTCCTACACGGTGTATTTTTGATAGAAAAGATGAAAGTAAATCATCATCATTACGTTCACCAAGAATAGACATAAGTTGTGTGATAACATCTTCTGCTTTAAGCATTTGACGTTGATTAATAGCATTTGCCTCACACCACATTTTTCGTTGGTCTTTTGGAGATCTTTTATAGGCATGATAAATACTAATCAATGTAGCATGATCACCAGCAGACTTAGCAAATGCCGCTTTACACCTATCGGCACCATCTTTCATATCACGAGAAGTAATGAAAAGATTTTCTGTACTTGTCATGGCAATCGCAACCGCAGCATCATATTCAATACCAAGAGCTTTTCCTGCAAGTAATACAATAGCCGCCATTGGTTCAATAGGAAAATCTGTTAAACGTTTTCCAAGAGCCGTGATATGTCCTTGACGATCTAAAGCACCAAGTAACATTAATGTTTCTTCTGCTTTTGTAACCGCACGTGGATTAGGGGCATCCATAAATTCAAAATCCATAATACTATGAATATTAAGACTTTTCATTTGTAAAACCACACTTATGAGAGAACTTCGTTGAATTTCTGGTATCGTGTTTTCAGAGAGAGATTCAAAGGCTTGAGATGTATATAAACGATAACATTTACCTGCAGTTACCCGACCTGCACGACCTGTACGTTGTGTAGCTTGAGCTTTACTCACATCCACTTCAGATAATATTTCCATACCAGTTTTACTGTTAAAATGTTTAGCCTTTACAACACCACTATCTACCACATATTTAATTCCCTCTACTGTAATGGATGTTTCGGCTATATTAGTAGCGAGAATAATTTTTCGCTTTCCAGGAGGAGCAGGATCAAAAACAGTTAACTGTTGTTCATATGGCATAGCGGAATAAAGTGTTAAAACAATAAAATCTCTAATATGATTTGGTAAATGTTTCATTCGCTGTTCAAGAATTCGTTTCGCATCTTCAATTTCCTCTTGACCGGTAAGAAAACATAACACATCACCTGGTTCCTCTTTTTCATGAATTTGAAGAAGTGTACTCACAGCTGCCTCCACGTAATCTGCTTGAGGTTCTAATGTATGAAAGATAGAAACAGGGAATGTACGTCCATGGACAACACCTATAGGAGCATCCCACCAAAATTTAGAAAAATGTTCAGCATTTAATGTAGCTGACATCACCACAATAGAAAGTGTTTTTCTTCTTCTTCTTACAATATCTTTTAAAAGACCAAAAAGAACATCCCCATGTAAAGTTCGCTCATGCGCCTCATCCAGAATTAAACAACGATACCGTGTGAGATCTGGATCTGCCTGAATCTCACGAAGTAAAATACCATCCGTCATGTATTTAATTCGAGTTTGACTACTACAAGTATCATCAAATCGCACAGAATACGCCACTTCTCCACCCACTCGTCCTCCACGCTGTTCCGCTACGTGTCTGGCAATACTCACAGCCGCCACTCGACGCGGTTGTGTACATCCCACTATTCCCTGTCGCTGCTCCGGCTCACGGGAAACAATATCATCCCAAACATATTGTGGTATTTGTGTAGTTTTACCAGATCCCGTTTCGCCTACAATCACAACAGCATTATGGCGGCGAATCATGCGAACAATCGCCTTGCGGGCCTCTTCCACAGGCAACTGTCTCACCACAGTGTGTGGACCACTGCCACTCCCTGTAGGATGACTAGAGAGACGAGAAGAACTCATGATGTGTACAGGATATTATTACTATTATTCGTATTATTATTATTATTGTTGATAATTCTTCTTCTTCTTTTTCTTATGGGTGTTTTTCCTTTCGTTTCGTTTCTTTACTTTAGTTAGCAATAACAACAACAACAAACAAATTAATATAAATATGTGTACTCCAAACTACAAACCACTACACAGAAGTTCAGAGTGAGAGAGAGAGAGAGAGGTGGTCGCCGCAATGCTCTCACAAGAGCTTTCCCCAGATGTCTACAGAAAAGAAAAAAAGAAAAGAAAAAAAAAGAAAAAAAAAAGTTGATGGCTGTCCCCACTACACCCTTTAACATAGATGAAGCAAATTAAGAAAGAAAAAATGTTAATTTGTCATTTCCATAAACAATAACAAAAAAAAAAAACAATAAAACTCTTTTCAGACACACAATGAAAAGAAAAGCAAACCAAAAAAAAAAAGAACTAATACGCAAATGAAAATTAAAGTCAGGTTAAAATATGTTTTAATAGATAAAATAATAGTAATAATAATAATAATAATAATAATAATAATAATAATAATAATAAAAGCCCAAGAATTATTATTTTCTATCGTATATTGTGTCATGAATATATACTTCTTCTTCATGGATAGCACTTACATTATACAGCGTAGTTGTTAAACTATCTGAAAATGGTACCGTACAATGCAAAGTGGGACCCAATACAAATCGGTTTCCTTCTCCACGCATACCACGTTTTATTTCTGGTCGCCATACAGTAGTTGATAGACGTTCAAAACTTTGATAACAAGTAGAACCTCCACCAGAACCACTCGTAATAAAATCAGTTCCATTAAGGTGATGTATTTCTAATAAATGATCATCACCATTAAGGTACGCATGAATTTTATGTTTAGATATAAAAGGAAGTATGCGATTACGAAATACTTGATTTCGAGCCATTTTAACTCCATGCATACTACCTGACAAAAGAGCTTCATGATTAAGTACAAGTCTCCAGCGATGTCGTTTTGGATCATTAAAAGGACGAGCATCAAAGAAATCATTTCCACTTTTTATTTGATGATCCCATGTTTTATCTTCATAACTATTCATAACGAATACATCCATTACATCAGCTGTACAGGATGATGAATCTTCCTCAGTACCTTCATCCTTCTTATTCTTCAAATCACTTGTTTCTGTACAACTTTTAATCAAAGGAATAGTAATACCAAAATATGGGGCAGGGAAGAACCACATTGGATTTGTCTTGCTATATTCCACTAATACTGAGAGTTTTCCCAGTAGATCATGATTCCCTGCAGATATAAGAAACGGTACTCGTTTAAATGCTTTATGGGAAAAAGGACGTTCAAATGTATCAGCCCATTGTGCATCTGTAAGAGAACGAACTCCTGCAGGATAAAAGTTATCCCCTGTAGAAACAATGAATTTCACCCAATACTGTCTCATCAATAATTTAAGTTGTCGAATAACCATACTTTGATCTGGTTTAGGTGCTCCCCAATCACCTATAGCTGCAAAACAAATTGGAGGAATTGGTCTAGGACTCAATCCAAGCCTCTTTTTAAGTGATACAAGAAGGTCAAAACGTATCATACAACTTGAAGTATTAAGTCCATTTGTATCAAAACCCCATTCATTTTTTTGATAATTTTTTTCTGACTGACATGATACAGAAAAAGGAGGAAGTATCACTTCAAGTAACCGTACTGAACGAGATCCACTTCTTCCTCTCCTTGTCCTATTTAAAATAAACTTTGTCTCCGTATCCATTTTTGGTGAAGATTGAGTGGTACAGCTTTTACATTGGACTTGTTTCACTGTAAGCAACGACATAATTTCCATTGTTACCACCATAGGTAATGTTTCTTTTCGCAACAGCGGACATGCAATGGCAAAACTATCAAATCGTGGATGTGGCCAACAATCCTTTGGGGCCTGTAGAATATATCCCCATGAACCACTGAGCCAAAACTTTTTGCCACGACTATTCAGTTGCTGGGGTGTATTCACCGGTGTTTTTGTGGCTGTTGTGGTTGAGGGTGTGTCCATGGATTGTGGAGTTGGTGGCGGTGTGGCGCTGATGAAATGGAGGAGGGCGATGACGGCGATGGCGAAAATGGGAAGAAGAAAAAGAAAAAGAAGAAGGCGGCGGGGCGGGAAGGCGGCAGGGAAGGGCCCCGGCGCGATGAGGCCGTTGGGGGACTTCTCCGAATCGTGGCGGTTAGAGGAGCGGAGGAGGCGAAAAACGGGCATCCCTAATCCACACAGAGAAAGAAAAAAAAAAAAAAAAAAA